GCCCATGATGCGATGACGTGGATGCGCCAGCTGCGCTATTAGCTATTTGTTGATGATAGCTGCCACTGTAAATCCCTGTATTCTCACCACTCATGTGCTGCTGTGCAATAGTTTGTGCATCACCCACAGCATGCTGCTGTTGTGCTGAGGCCGCAGCCACTGCTGCTGTGCTGCGTGACAATTCGTCGGCGTGTGCCAATGTGGAACCAATTATATCGCTTGCTATGCGTATAGCCGCATCGGTGGCGGCAATAGTTGAAATGAAATCGCTTGCATTGGCTGGATGGCGCATGCTGTAGTAGTTGAGTGGCAGGCTGAGGTCTGATGAGGAATCTGTTGGTGTATTCAAAGCACCCAGTCCAATAGATATACTTTGCTGCTGCTGCTGTTGATAGATTTGTGAGGCGAAGTTGGAATCGGTTATGACAGTATTACCCTCAATGCGTAGGCCAGCTACACCTTTTTTGGGTATTGTGGCTAGATCGCGCTTGACGCGTCGGCAACGACTTGGCTCATTTTGACGTTGCTGGACCATTGCTTCCAAATCGACAACATATACATAGCCAGCCACCAATATGATACAGGATTTTTCACCTTTCTTAAATGCCTCCTCAATATCCTGGCTGGTACGATCGTCATACTGCCACCAACCTAGTAAATTCCACGTAAAAAATATTCGATTAAATTTATTTGAAGCAAAATGTCAATTAGTATTGCAACACACAAGCAAAATACTATGGTAATTAGTGCAATTAATCGTGTGTGTTTTGAATGTGTGTATTAATATTTCAATATTCCAGCTACGCCTTTGGTTGGCATATGCTTGGAGCGACAAATCTTGCGCTTTCGTGTTGGATATTTTAATGGGTGCTGCACCATATCTGCGAAATCAATTGTATACATTGTGCCACAAATTAGTATTTCATGTTGGCAACCCTCTTCTAGATCAATCGTGCCGGTACCGAGCATGCGTGTTTTATACGCTTCTTCGATATCTTTGGAAGAGCGCGGATCATATGCCCACCAACCGCCTGCAGGAGTTTAGCTTAATTTTGTGAGTGTATGGTTGTCTTAAATTATCGACACTTACCATTACGTCCTTCGTAGAACCATTGATAACCGTCTTCGGTGGATTTAGTTGCACAAATATCATCGATGCCATTCACCAAATCGGGATGATCAAGAAATTCTGGCGGTATTTCACGTCTACACATGGCGCAACGACGATTTTTGTAAGCGACGCCCTGGAGGTTGTAAAGAAAATGTAAATGTTTTGGTTGTTTAATAATAATTGGAAAGTTAAGCAAGTTAGGTTTTTGCTAGAATTCATTTGAATAAAACAATTTTAAACAACTCGCTTAATGTTGAGATTTTTTAAAAGTTGCTCTAATACTTTTAATAAAAAATGCTTGAAGTTTTATTTGGCCAGATACATATAACGTTTCCTGAATATATGTAATATTGGTATGTATAAAGAAAACTACGAACATCAAGGAAAATGAGGTCGAAACTTAAGTGTAATTAAATTTTTGTGTACAAAAGCATCGTGATTTGGGCAAAATACTTAAAAATTACAAGCGCTACATCAATTGTCACCGGATTAAAAATAAATAGTTTGTAGCTATGAAAATTTTAAGTTCCTTACTACTTCGCTTAAAACTTTTTGCTATATTTTTTTGTATTTTTTTCATCTTAAACTTTGAATTTCTAAAAACTAGCAGCTACTATATTAACTTACAATAAATTCTAACAATTTTAATATTCTTCAACCTACTTAATTTTATTTAAACACGCAAAAGGCAAAGATTTAAACACGGAAATATGCATTAATCCATTGAGCGTGCATAAAATATTCCAATAGCGGCATATTTCTTGCTTAATAGTTGGCTATAAAGATCACTAACACAAAAGATATTTGCCGTTGAAAGACGTTGGCGACTATTTTGGTAAAACTCATACATATGTACATGCATATTACATATAACGAACAGAGACTAAATAATCATTTGAGCTAAACTTGTTGGTCTAATTTTCTTTAACTAGGAAGTAGCGGTAAGCGAAAAAATATATCGAAAAGAAAAAGATCAACCACCTTCAAATCCGTTGCTTTGTTTTATTCATTAGTAATACGCTTATCATAGTTGTAGCAAAGCCAACAAGTATTCAGCTGTTTAATGCTTATGCTACCCTAAACGTGTTCCTCAAATCAAACGACAGTCTAGCATATGTGCCTAAATTGGCAGCACTGAGCAGCTTGACTATGACGTCGTACCGACGTGCCTGCCTAAGCTTGAACTTAAACTACAATATAATTCGAAGCGTGTATAACTAAATATATAACTCTTATCGCGCTAACAATGGTTTTGGCTGACGCCCCCTTGCACGCGCTAGCGACGAGGGGAATAAGCGATGTACTTGAAGAGCGCCCAACGAAATTTGCCTTCCAAAATATGGAAACACAAGGTTTCAATGTCTTCCTATATACCATTTCGGTAGAATCCCATAAGATTTGAATCAAATTCGCGAATATTTTGAAAACTTCCTTATTTTTAAGTCAGACACATAAAATAAGCAAATAAGCACTTGTTGTTAGCCAAGCACAAGCGGCTACTCTACTAAACAGCTCACGTATTGCTGGAAGACATCTACAAGCCGTTTAGTTAATTATGTATGCACCAGCGCGCTATACACTGCCTCATGCCAACATATTGACGTGCCTTTAGCTCTTTTTCAAGTTATCTACTAAAAACATTGACAATGGCATTTGTACAAAATGAAATTTCCACGAATTTTAACAATATCTAGCCTGTTCCCGTACTCCAGGATTTAGTCTTACATAGTCCGGAAGATAGTACTGAAGTTATTAAAAATGTGTGTACAGAACTGGCTTCGGACTATTTGACTGACTAAATCTAGAAGGACAGGTTAATCTTTTCTATACTCACTTTCACGCATAGGAAACAAAAAATGTGCCCGCATGGCAGGCGTGCTGGATGTATGCAGGTTTGTAAGCATATCGGGCATTCAATTGTGGTCGCAGATCCACCAGCTGTATCATCAATACTAGGCGGCGGTGAGGTCGCTTCAGGACTACTATCCACAGTTATGGTTGCAGCAGCAGCAGCAGCAGATTTCGAGGTAGAAGGGGCTGGGCTAGTACTGCAAAGATCGATTACGGCATCATTTGCATTTGCATCACTGCCTGTTGTTGCTGTTATTGCTGCTGTCGCCAATGCCATTGATGATGCAGACAATGTTGTTGCAGGCAATTGCAAATTTTCATCAGCCTCCAAAGGCACCAACACTGTTGCATTTGCTTCCTCACGCATGGTCATCAGCCTTGGCGAGGATGCGGACGCTATTGCGTTGGGTGCTTGATCCAAGCCATCTGTTTGTTCTTCACTTTGCTCCATTCTCTCAATTGAAATTCACTATTAAAAATTTCCAATTTTTCCCTTTCGTTTTGCAAATTTTATTTTTCTGTTGCTGCGATTATTGCGATATTTGCACAATCTTTTCTTTGTTACGTGTTGGCAAATTTTCTTTATTATTCTTTTCTTGTTCGACTTTGCGTCTACCCTGATTGTTACTTTCGATAACAACTCATAATACAATACAAGTAAATTGACACCGAATGCAAGCAAATAAGAATTAAGTATATTGAAGTTTTATTTTAATAACAAATTCGCCTCTTTGTTGCTGATATTCGCCGTAAGAGTTTGCAAACGGGTGCGGAACTGTATTTATTGCCGGTAGGTGGCGCCGCCTACTATGAGAAATCTATGTGGCCATATCAACCGGAAATTTAGATTTTAGGGCATTAAATTTCCAAAAAAATTGGTTTTCAAAAGTTTTCTGGTATTATTATTTTTTATATCAATTTTTAATTAAAATCAAGCGTAGCTTTGGCACTCAGATACCATTAGACTGGGTTCACACAGAGAAACTTTTGTTGCTCATTTTCGGCAATTTCTCTTTTGATGTTGCTCTTCGCGTTCACACAGAGCAATTTTTTGCTCACAATTGTTGTTGTCCGCTGTGGACGGCCAACTAGAATTACTCAGACGAACGAGAGCACAAAGCGTGTTGCTCGAGCACGAGTAACTGGGTGCCTTTCCCCCTTCCTTATCACTCGCTCTCCCACAAGTAACGAGTTGCCGAGACGAAAGTTTCTCCGTCTGAACCTAGACTTAAGACACCACTTTCAGTCCCATAACTAATTTTTCAAAATTTACACCAAAAGGGAAAAATCCGCACTTGTGGCAACATTATGCCGAACCGGAAATAAGTTTCGCCTATTCAGGCGTTTCCTGCAGGGTAGCTACTGAGCACACAACATGCATATTTCGTAACGACTAAACAGCAATTAGTGCCGCGCACTAAAATAAAGCTTTCTATGCTTTTTCCTTAACTTGCGAAAATATAGGGAGCTTACGTTAAAAGCTTTTCGTGCTTCGCGATGCTGCTGCTTATGGCCACAGAGCGCACCGAGTTCGCAAACGATTTGCTGCCGTCCTTGTTCTTCAAATGATTTTTAAGGCCAAGTGCAAATGACGAGCCAAACGTCTTCACAACGGCAGGCAGCTGTTCATGAAATAAAAGTAATTGTGTTAGTGTGTGTGGGCGAAAAAGGCAAAAAAGCACCAAAAAGAACGTTGGGAATGAGAAAACTTTACTTTAATATTGGCATATTCTCTTTTGCGCTGTGTTTCGTGTATACAGAACGCATACGCCGCGTGCACCCCTCGACTCCAGCAACCTTCAATCAGCAGCAGCAGCAGCAGCAAAACCTTCCCCAAACAACAATGCTGCGTTGCGCATACAAACACATCCTCATTGCTTCCAAGTTTTATTGGTGGTTCTATTTTGTAAGCTTTTTTTTTGTGTGCGCCCGCCTGTGTTCTTGTTCTGGCACACTGTGTTTCTGTGTCGTAGCCGTCGCGTTGTTGTGCTTGTTGTTGGTGTTTGCTACTGCTGCGCCCTATCTTCTGCCTTCTGTATTCTATCTACTGCCTTCTGCTAACTTTTTGTTTTATTCTGTCTTCTATCGTCTATCGCACATTGTCGACTTTCGTGCACGTCTCGTATACCCGCCATGACCGTGTACCCGTTTATATTATCCGTTCGCTTTGCAGCATTTGCGTTCGTCGCCTGTGTTCCCGTTCCGTTCGCATTCGTGTCAGTCGAGATTGAGAGTGCGAATTTGGCCTACAGACCTAATTTTACGTCTGCAGCCAAAACAAACCCAATTAAATACGTTAAATTAGTGCAAAATTAAAGTGAAATATATGAAATCACCTAAATTAGGTGCTGCGTAATGCGATGTGACAATAAATAAATGCGAAAAATGTACAAAATACGCAATAAAAGCGAACAAATTCGCTGGTGATAGTACATACATATGTGCAAATTGCACAATTGTAGAATTTTTTCCTATACTTCTAAAAAAAAGTACACAAATTGAAGCAAAGTGAAGAAATGAAGCAGCAGCAGCAGCAGCAGTGTCTTGTGTATGTATGTATGTACATATGTATGTATGTATGTATGCATGCTCATATGTATGTATGTTCATGTGTAGTATATTTATGCCCATAGTGTGAAGTGATTTGAAGAAGTGCAGGGGAGAAGTAGTGCAGTGTGCTAAAGGAATTATCGCGTTCGCGTTCGGGAGCAGCCGCGAAGTTAACGCAAGTGTACCTACATACAATAAAACATAAAGAAATACATAGTGTAGTTGGTATTGCGAATAATGTGCCTTGTTGTTGTGGTTGTTGTTCTTGTGTCATAGCTATTCGGTGTAGAGTGGGACTATTCCCCGTATAGGCGAGCGAACGTTCCTCCCACTGCCCCGTGCACCTTTTTTTACATTCACGTACCTACCGCACCGCTTGCAGCTGTGTGTATACGCTGATGATGATGTTGAGGTCTTGTGGGTATGCTAGCGGTGGCGACGTCGGACGACGAGACGATAACTAGTTGCGACCGCTGCTACAGCTGCAAGCGATTCGTAAGATATTTTTTCAACTTGGACTGCAATTTGCAATCCCATGCTGGAGCTTTCACAGCAGTGCGGGATTAATGTGCTCGTGTGATTTTTCTGAGTGTGTTAATAAATATATGTATCGAAATTGAAGAAGAAAACGCGTAGCCAAAAGGAAATTGAAGCCGCAATTAGTCGTTTTGCTTTTGCAGCAGCAACGGAAGTCATATTCATCCGCCGCGGTGTACCAAGTGTCCAAATGTAATTCATAAAAGTACCTATGTATCTAATCAAAAAAACTAACTAAGCAAGGGTTTGCATAATTTTCGTAGACTGCAGCACGCTTTTCAAGTTCAAAGCAACCGTGCATGCACGCGTATACACATACATATGTATGTATGTGTAGGAGCGGGCACGGAAAACCCAGCTGTGCTGATTGACGCTCCACTCCAACATAGAGGCATAAATGCATTTGGAGCAGCTCTAAATTCAGCTACGCACTAGTAGAACGGTGGAGGTAATAAGAGTAACACTTTATTGAAAAAATAGAAAATAGCAACTTCAAAAACGGGAATCGAAACTTGCATTTGCATCAAACAGCTTCCATACTTTAATGGCAGCGCATAGACGAGGCCTCAGTATTGCGAAAAAATCACTATAAGGTACAGGAATAGCGAACTGCGTGTGCTGCGTGCGTTCGTATCCGTGACCATGTAGTGTGCATACATATTTACGTATCTCTTGCCCTATTTGCTGCTGCACACCGCACTGATACAGAACAATAAAAAGCACACACAAAAAAGAACAAGAAGAGGCAGCAGCAGCAGAAAAATAAGAGGAAGCAAGTTTTTGCAAAAAACGGAGGGGTCAGTGCGGAAATCTATTATTTGCCATTCACTTCGTTCTGAATACACACACACATACACCAAAGCAGTGAGCTTTTACAAGTTGGCGCACTACATACTGGCGGAAACTGTTGCTTGAATGGAAGACGGCAGTGAAGGCGACGGCGAGACAAATCACGAAGCAAAAGTGGAAAATAACAAGCGTTGGGAGCACCTACCCCTCCATATATGAACAAACAAACATACATACATTACCAAACAGATCGCAAAAGCACACTTAGCTGAAGTGGAACTGAGTAAATGTGATTGTTAGTTGGTGCGTGCATAAGCGAGATAGCAAGCGTAACGTTTACTCTGTGAGTCTGAAAGTGGAAGTAGAATTAGCAATAGCACAAGCTGTCGACTAGAATCGCACGTCGCATCGCGTCGCCTCGTTTACGCTGTGTGCGTGTGAACGTGTGTGTTTTGTTGTTGCCGGTAGTCGCCAACAATCTTAAGTGAGAACTGCGCCCCAGTGCCTCCACTTCGGCAGCGGTACCCCTAAAAGTGCTAGTTTCGTCATCCTCCAACATTACTACATCACCTAACCTACCCAGCAGTGAATGGAATGCATTCCGCATTGATGCCTCAGTGATGACAAGTAATAGCATTTGATTCCGCTCTCGATTCTATTTCTATTGAAGTATGCATGGCATTTAACATTGCGTGACATTGGCGGTAAGGTGTGAGGGCTTCTGCTGCATTACCTTTCATTAACGCAGAAATGTCATGCTTTCTGCATTACCTCTAGCAAGCATTACGCTCAAAGTAATACAGAATGTTTTAAAGAGTAATTCGGAAATTAAGTACTAGACTAATATTTGGCAGAAAAAGTGAAGCTTATGTGAATATTTCTATAGAAATGTCTAGCAACACATTTTTATCAAAATGTAATGCATACAAAATAAGGGTTCGCCATCAATTGCCTGTCAATCGATGAAAGTATGTACTTCGAAAAAAAGAAGCAGTTCAAGCATATTGTAAAGCGATTGCATTACTTTGGAGTCGACTCTGGAGTAGAGTCCGAACGATTAGTCGGCATCGGCATCGGCCGTTTCTGCCCTATTCTTTTTACTTTTTCCGCAATTTGAACAAAAATTAATTAAAATTTAAGACTGTTTAATCATATTTTTTAGAATTTTTTAAGTACGAAGTTTTTTTAAATTTTAGTATAATGAAAGTGGAAGTTTGAAGTAGCTAGGTAAGTGTTGATTTTTGACAATTTTATGTTCACGCATTTTCTTCCAAACAAAGTTTGTTCGAATTTTTTTTTTGTAAGGGTGGAAGCCGCAAAACTTTCCACAAAAATATAAATCCAAAAACCAATAGTAAGTCCTATTACTTAAAATTTGCACTTCATTAAAATAAAATTGAATGGGCTGCAAAAATGCATACTCACAATGTTTAAAGAAAAAGTTTTAAATTTTTACTAACATGGTTTCTGTTAGATAACGAGCTACACTTTCACAAAAAAAACTAAGCAACATTAAATAAATGAAAGGAAAATAGCCAAAGAATGCTAAAATGTCGTTACTAATCGCTGAATTCCTAAATCCTTCGGGTTATTCTCACTGGATTTTTAAATTGTTTACATTACAAAAATACTTTTATCATTAAAAACCCACGGTTACTGTTTATTAAGAAGGTGTATTCAATACAACAGCTTTATAGTTAGCAGAAGCTTGCATATTTTTACTACTACATATGAGTACAACTAAGAAGTATAAGAAGCATTTGCATTGGCCAAAAATTGGGTATTGGTCGGACTCTACTCCGGATTTGGTGACTTTCTCATGCAATCGCATTTTCGCTGTTGGGTACTTACCTACCCAGCTATATACATTTTTATACTCGCATAGAATTCGCATCGTATGCTTTAATTTCGCTTTTGCTGCTAAACATTTGTCTTCTTCAATCATTTTCTTACTCTTTCGCCTTTTTCGATCTACAATTCTACACTTTTACTTCTTGGCACAGCTTTATCGCATATTTTAGATCGCGCTGCGTCCCGTCCATTTGGCCTGCCAACCAAATATCGGTGTGCCAATTAAAAACAACAAAAATCACAACAACAATAATAGAAAAACAACTGCAGTGCCATCACCATTGTCTTCATCCCTGCCACATTGTTGCTGCTGTGGTTGTTGTTCGCTCCTACATACATATACATACATACATACATATGTATGCAGAATATCCAGTTTTGTGCTCCTCAACATAATTCTTATTGACTTCTTTACATACGGTGCGCACAAATGTGATATTCTTGCGAAATTTTCATTGTATCCGTTTCCCACCGCGTTCGCGTCGTTCACACTCGATTTCGTGCAGTAGGTACGTCTGACGACTGCTTTGCTTGCACGTACGCATGCACTTGCATGTTTGTTTGTTTGTTCGGTTCTTTGTTCATTCTTCGCTGTTGCTTGTTGGTACATCCGTCCGTCGGTTTGTCGTCTCGTCGGTGTGTGCGTGTTTGTGAGCGTAGAAATAGTAGAATAAGAAGAAAAAAAAATACGAAAACAAGAAAACAACTTGGCGAGCACTTTTGCTTTCGGTCCCAACTGGATTTCGTTAGCCGCTTCTTCTTCTGCTTCCTCCTCAATATCTTCACATTGTTATTGCATTTGTGTTTCGCAGTTGCTATTCGCTTTCGATTTGCCATTTTATTATTATGTGTTGCCTCGGCGTGCTAAAATAAGCCAGAATCAATGTGAAAAATAAACGAGAATAGAGTGGTAGAAGCTTCGTCGATGTCGACGGCGAAGCCAGTGCTGACAACAGTAGCAATAATAACTAGTGCTTTCCAGAGATACTCGCATTATAAGGTAAGCGCTTTGTTTACTTGACTCGTTTACGAACATTTTTTGTTTTATTACAAAGCGGTTTAACCCTTCCGCTCCATGGGTTTTCGCACTAAGTTCAGCAGTGGAATTTCGACAATCGCGATGCTAAGTTTTCGTGACCAAAATTCTCCAACAGGTCTATTCTGCACGTTATCGATAATTTTCTAAACGGAAAATTTTATTACCAAACAATGTTACCACTTCTTGTCACTGCGATTCTTGGTCAGTCAAAATATTTAGCAATTTTGCTATGACGATAAATATCTTTAAATCTTTAAAGACTCTTATATTGAGACTTATATTATAAAAGTCTTTTCATAAATTATGAGTGCGAAATGTTTCAAGTCTTAAAGGAGGGGGCTTATTCAGCACCATTTCGGGATTACTTCGGGACCATTTCGGTACTAGTTGGAGGCCAGTTCGGGGATAATTGGGGACGAGTTCGGGCAAAGTTTGGAACTTGTTGGGGCGTATTTTGGGACCAGTTGGCGCTAGTTGTGTACAGTATAATCTATATAATCCCGAACTGGTCCCAACTAAGCTTCAACTGGCCCCAAACTACTCCCCAACTCTTGAACAAGCCCCGTCTTTTAAGACTTAAAAAAGTTTTTCGCACTCATAATTATTATGAAAAGCCTTATAATTCAAGTCTCAAAATAAAAGTCTTTAAAGACTTAAAAATATTTACCTCAATGACAATTATTGTGAAAAAAACGTTTATAATATAAGTCTCAAAATCTCTGATAATTATTAAGAAAGGACTTTTATAATATAAGTCCTCGAATAATAGTTATAGATGACTCGAAAATTTTTATCTTAATATAAAATTTTTGTTTGACTTTTATTCTTTTCCCTTATAATATTTATGTCTCTGGTTATAACTCTTATCGGCGAAATAAAAAATATTTTTCGTGTAATAACTGTCATGAATCAAAGTATTCGTTAAAGTTCAGAGTTCGGGAAACGTTTTCAATTTGTAAATTCGAGATAACAGTTATTGTTGGTTCCTACTCAAAAGCCTTTCCTTGTAGTAGTTAAATTGCTCCTTACAGGTCAGTTCGCCTGTCGCGGCTACCAGCGCACAGTGGTTCAAAACTGGAATTTAATGTTCTCAATTCTTAATTAATTAAAGCTTATAATATCTACAAGAGACCAGTTGAGCCCGATTTTTGAATTTTCATTTCTTTGCATTAAAGATTTTAGTACAAAGTGAAGAAAAAGTAGTAAGATTGAAGAAAATCGATTCTCCTGTTCCAGCTGATAAATGTTACATAATAAAAACTAGATAAAAACAATTATACCCATTATACATTATACCATTATTATACCCAAAACAAAAGAAATTCCAAAAAATTTAAGTGTTATAAAAAAATTTCTTCAAAATAATTTTTTTTTATTTCTTAGATAAGTTTTGTTTATATATAGTTTTATAGATAATGAAATTTTAGTATGATAAAGTTCAAGTTTCAAGCGGCTAAGAAAGAAAGAAAAAATTATTAAAAATGAACTTGCAACTTGTACTTTATTATACTAAAATTTAAAGATCTTTAAAACTGCATAATCAAAATTTTTCTTAAAACTCGAAACAAATTTTGAATTTGGTGAAATTTTTTTTAAAACAATTTAAATTTTCTTGTGAATATTTTTTTTTCGTCTGGGGAACCCTAAAATTGTTTTCGACTAAGTTTAATCGTGTAACATTATTAATTGGAACAGGGGAATCGATTTTCTTCAACATTGCTACTTTTTCCGCGCTTTGCACTAATAAATGTAGTACAAGGATATGAAAGTTCAAAAGGCGGGCGAAACTATTCTCTTGCTAATTATTAACTTCCATTAAAACAAATAAGAAACAATTAATCAAATCGGTTGAAAAATGAAGGCTCCAGTGAATTATGAGCAGCTTTCCAGTTCCACTTTTGAGCCACCGTGTATCGTTGGCTCCTTTTGAACTTTCATAAATTTGTTTAAACGCACCACCTTTAACGGGACGAGCACACCAGATATAGAATTAATGCCTTCAAAACCAAGGCAAAAATATTCCCTAAAAGGTTTTGCACTAATAAGAATATTGTAAGAATTTTGGCGGTTTTGTTTATTTATATTTTTATAACTTTATCTCAAAATTTTCGAAAAATATTTAAAAATAAAAATACCAAAATTTGGAATAAAATATTTATCCCATTTTGTACCTGAAAAGGAAAGAATATCTTTCTTTCTTTTCTGTGCCTTCAGGAAAAATACTTTTTAAGAAAATTTTTATTGTTATCAAAATTATAATAAACTTCCCAGTTATTAGAAAAAATGATTTTCTTGAGAAAAATTATTCTCACAAAAAATATAAAAAATAAGAAAACTAAAAATTTAATTTTTATCAAAACTATAATAAACTTACTATTTATAAGAAAATATATTTTCTTGAGAAAAGCGCAAAAATAGAAAAAGTACCAAAACCTAAAGAGTCAATTTTTTGGTCAATCATTATTTTGGAAATTTTTTGGTGTAAAAGAAATTATTTTTCGAAAAGACAAATTTGTTTTAATAAAAGATAAATTTGTTTTTATAAAAAAAGATACAATTTTAAGCTTACTTATGATGATTTAATTTCTTCCAAAAAATGTTATTGTTGTTTGATGTTACGCTCAACCCTGTGAAAAGGTTTTTTGCCTTCCAGTCCTTGTCACGCATTTCATAATTTTGCCGTTTTAAACTACCATCTGATTTTCTGGGCAACCATCTCCCTTGACAAAGCTTCAGAGGGCAGAGAATGAGCTTTTTTTGCCTTACAAGAGTGTGAGTCGAAATTGTTTGGTAGAAACGGAATCCCCATTAGACTTAATATGTACATAATATAATTTCTTCTTTTGGAAAAAATTAGGGTTTTAAGGATTTCAGATAAAAATAAACATTTGGAAAAAATATATATTTTAGTAAATTTATTTAAATAAACTATTTAAATAAAATGATGAAATAAAATTTTTTATGTACCTGAAAGAATTGGCCTCATGCATAACAAGTGTGCTCGAGATTTGACTGAATTTCATCCAGTGATAAAGTGAGTTATAGCTCAAGGATTTGTACTGAAAATCGAGTCAAAGCTTAAGCTTTAATATTAATAATTTTTTTGAGAAAATTATCAAACAAATTGAGAAAAATATTATTTTTTCTAGATTTTTTAATAAAATAATTCTTGAGGTAAGCATATTTTTAACAAATAAAAAGCTTACCGAAAATGGAAAAAAATAATTTTTGTTAATTTTTTTTGTAAAAAAAATATTTACTGCCTCATTTTTGTTTAGATATTTTTATAGAACAAAAAAAGACACATTTCAAACTAAAATTAATTGTAAAAACAGATATTTTTAAAGCAAGCTTTCTAAATATGAACGAATTCGGACCATAAATACTGGTTTATCAAATATATCGACTCGTGCGCCACCTATCGGCAAATTTTTAGAGAGAGAGTAGAGTTGGCATTTTTTATGCATGTACATGCTAAATATGAACCAAATCGGACTATAA